TGGGAGGAGAAGGGACTCATGACTCTAAAGGTAGCTCTCTCCTAAGTTGCTCGCCATTGCTTAGTTAGGCCGCTGCTTAAGTACAGTTATACCAAAGGGTGATTACAGTATGGATCAATCAACTTCTTTCATTGTGGACATTCAATTAGACCTCCTCCACTGCTCTTCCATCAGTAACTGCTCACAGTAATTGGGGTTAAATTCCACTGTTGCACAGAGTCAATATTAACAGTACACTCTCAGCTCTTAACCTGTTTGGAAACACTGTACCTTCTTGTTGTCTCTTGGTCCTGTATGTAGGGTAGAGGCCCCTGTTTAGATCTCCGCTTGCCTGTCTTTGACTGAAAGGCTGTGTCAGGGAAGACGAGCCTTCTCTGCTCTGGCTGAAGGCTTCACAGTCACTGGCTGTAAGGTGCTTTCGTTTAAATGGTCTCACTGTCACCAACACGAAAAGAAAATTGCATGGCTGTTAATTTAATTAAGTTTATGTTTATTTTCAAGTGACAAAGGCTGTGCCTTTGGTAGACTTCGACAATCAGTTCATTAGGGATCAGTTATTTTATAAAAGCCCCATGGGATGATCCCCACATCTTAGCCAATGTACTCTCTTTCAGTAGCTTATGCAGAAATTTATACAGAGCTTTGAAGATATACTGTACAGTAAAATACATCATCATCAAGACACTTTGCAATGTTCAAAGCTATGTGGTAATTATAAAGTTTACACAATAACTTCACTCCTGGTGTCTCATTCATCACTGTACAGGACTTTGGGATATCCTCCGGTATGAAATGGCTACGCCACTGTAGCGTAGACAGCTGCTATAGCGACAGAAGGAGTTTTGCCAACGCTGTAGTAAATCTGCCCCCTGGATCAACAGAAGAATTCTTCCATTGACTTCGCGGCATCCACATCTGGGCTTAGGTTCACTCCATTTCTCAGGGCTGTGAATTTTCCACACCTCTGAGCAACATACTTAGGTCAACCTAAGTTTACAGTGTAGACCAGGCCTAAGTCTAGGGATCTGGTTACAACAGAAAAAAACCTGTAATGCAGATGAGCCTTCAAGCCTTTTGCACAAGTGGGCTAAAGCTTTGGATATGTCCAGGACATTAGGCCTGTTAAACTTCTATCTAGACTCAAAATTGCAAACTGTTAACTGGGCCCCTCACTCAGATATATTTGCAGTGTAGCTCTTACCCTTACCGTTGGCAGTAAACTAGAAAACCTTGTGAGCAATTTTAAAATGTTGGACTGTAAATAGAAATTCACAAGAACACATCTATTTTGATAACAGTGACTGGCAAGGATAGATGACCTAACTTCCAGTCACAGAATTATGAGTTAAAATCTAAAATGACCATGTGCAATAGTGCTTCCAGCTGCAGTAAAAGCATCCAGGCCACACGGCTCACTTGGCTTCAGTTTTTAGTTCTTTTTTATATCACACAGTAGAGAATGAGATCCCATACCATAAACCATACCCAGCATATCTATGAAGCCAGTAAGTGCTTTTGGTTTACATTAGCATCAAAAGGTCAAGTCATTTTCCTTCACTTCTTCCTCCCCCTCAGAGCTATTACACACCACTAAGAGCTTTAGCAAAGACCCCTATGGTTTCTGATGCCTTATACAACCAACACTTCGCTGCCCCAAAACATACCAGAAGCAAATGTCTAAGGAAGAACAAATTATTTGCTCTTCAAGATCAGATGCTTTTGAAAATATTCCAATTAAAAAAAAATTGTTTCTCTCTTAAAAGGAGAGTGGACAGAGAAGTCAAAGTGGGGAATGCAAATACTTCATTGACAGGAATACTAATTTTAATTATTTTAATCAAATCATAGCATTTTTGCTTTAATGGTTGAAAATCTTAAAGATCCCAATGAACAATGAATAAAGCCCCCCACCTCCTCCCCAGCCATGACCTCAGAAACCCCGGGCATTAATTCTCCAATGCAACACCAAGGCTCTTATAAGCGTTATCTATTCTACATTCCTCCTGCCCCCAATACCTGTCCCCAAAGCAGACCCCACCCCCAGGTCCTATCCCTGCCCTCAATGCAGACGCCCCTCAACCCGATCCCAGCCCCCAATGCAGCCCCTCCCATTCCAGGCCCTATCCCAATGCAGACCCCTCCACCTCAATCCCTTGCCCCCCAGTGCATACCCCTCCCATTCCAGGCCCTATCCCTGCCCCCCAGTGCAGACCCCTCCCATTCCAGCTCCTATCCCTGCCCCCCGCCCGATCGCTGCCCCCCAGTGCATACCCCTCCCATTCCAGCTCCTATCCCTGCCCCCTGCCCGATCCCTGCCCCCCAGTGCAGACCCCTCCCATTCCAGCTCCGATCCCTGCCCCCCCAGTGCATACCCCTCCCATTCCAGCTCCTATCCCTGCCCCCCAGTGCAGATCCCTCCCATTCCAGCTCCTATCCCTGCCCCTCAGTGCATACCCCTCCCATTCCAGGCCCTATCCCTGCCCCCCCGATCCCTGCCCCCCAGTGCATACCCCTCCCATTCCAGGCCCTATCCCTGCCCCCCAGTGCAGACCCCTCCCATTCCAGCTCCTATCCCTGCCCCAACCCTGATCCCGTCCCCCAGTGCATACCCCTCCCATTCCAGGCCCTATCCCTGCCCCCCCGATCCCTGCCCCCCAGTGCATACCCCTCCCATTCCAGGCCCTATCCCTGCCCCCCAGTGCAGACCCCTCCCATTCCAGCTCCTATCCCTGCCCCAACCCTGATCCCGTCCCCCAGTGCAGACCCCTCCCATTCCAGGCCCTATCCCTGCCCCCCCGATCCCTGCCCCCCAGTGCATACCCCTCCCATTCCAGCTCCTATCCCTGCCCCCCCCGATCCCTGCCCCCCAGTGCAGACCCTTCCCATTCCAGGCCCTATCCCTGCCCCCCAGTGCAGACCCCTCCCATTCCAGCTCCTATCCCTGCCCCCCAATGCATACCCCTCCCATTCCAGGCCCTATCCCTGCCCCCCCCCCGATCCCTGCCCCCCAATGCAGACCCCTCCCATTCCAGGCCCTATCCCTGCTCCCCAGTGCAGACCCCTCCCATTCCAGCTCCTATCCCTGCCCCCCCCGATCCCTGCCCCCCAGTGCAGACCCCTCCCATTCCAGGCCCTATCCCTGCCCCCCAGTGCAGACCCCTCCCATTCCAGCTCCTATCCCTGCCCCCCCCGATCCCTGCCCCCCAATGCATACCCCTCCCATTCCAGGCCCTATCCCTGCCCCCCAATGCATACCCCTCCCATTCCAGGCCCTATCCCTGCCCCCCAATGCAACCCCTCCCATTCCAGGCCCTATCCCTGCCCCCAATGCATACCCCTCCCATTCCAGGCCCTATCCCTGCCCCCCAATGCAGACCCCTCCCATTCCAGGCCCTATCCCTGCTCCCCAGTGCAGACCCCTCCCATTCCAGCTCCTATCCCTGCCCCCCCGATCCCTGCCCCCCAGTGCATACCCCTCCCATTCCAGGCCCTCCCCCCCCCCCCCCCGATCCCTGCCCCCCAATGCAGACCCCTCCCATTCCAGGCCCTATCCCTGCCCCCCCCCCGATCCCTGCCCCCCAGTGCAGACCTGACCCCAGGGCCTAGCCCCACCCCCACTCTAGACCCTCAACCCAGGCCCTAGCCCCGCCCACAATGGGGACCCTTCCAGGCCCGAGCCGAACCAGCCTCACTCTGGTCCCGCCGGCGTTCGGAGCCTGCCGGAGCAGCTCGGCTTCCCGAGTCCAAACTCCTGCGCCCGTGACGCCCTGGCTTCCCGGGATCCCGCTCCCCGCCTCCGCCTGACTGACTCCGCCGCGCGCCAATCAGAGAGCGCGCGGTCTCAGCCCCCCTCCAATGAGACTCGTCCTGGCTCACGGAGGGGCGGGACGCGGCCAAGGGACGAGCGAAAACGTGCCCGGAGTTTGTTTACTTCTCCCCCTGCCGCCGCCGCCACGTGTCCAGTTCAACCCTTCGCGGGGGCAGTAACCCTAGGGCGGCGGGTGCCCCGCCCGCAGGTCACACGCCGTGATGTCATCGCGACGTCGCGCTGGCGTCACCCGGAGTTGTGATGTCATGCTGACGTCATGGCGACCTCGCGCTGGGGTGACGTCACCCTGCAGCGGAGTGGGGAGCGTCGCAGTGGCAAGGCCCACCCCCCCCCCCGGGCTCTGCGTCACCGCGGGGCTGACTGGAGGAGGGGCGATCGTGGCCCCAAAACGTCTGTGTAAATAACGCCCCTCAGGCTGGGGGGGGCCCGGGTCACACCGCGTGCCAGGGCCCGAACGCCTCTCGAGGGGCCGGCTGCCCCGCGCAGACAGAGGCCGCCCCGCATGCGGGGGCAGCCTGGTCAGAAGGGGCCGTACAGGGCCATGGGCTGACGGTGCGGGCGCCGGGAAGAGATGGCCCCTCTCCCCCGCCAGCGCCATACCTTGCTGGGGAGCGGTAGGCTTTCAGCGGAAGCGGCCAGCGGTGGCCATCGGGGGAAGCCCGGTGCCAGACTAGTCCAGCCGGTAATAATAATACCGCGCTCTTGTCCCGCGCCTCCCATCAGCAGATCTCCCAGCACTTTACAGAAGAGGTTGGTATCCCCATTTTACAGATGCGGAAACCGAGGGACAGATGAGTAAAGTGACTTGCCCAACATCACCCGTCTGGCTACCAGCCACGCAGGGACTTGAACTAAGGTCTCCAAAGTCCCCACTCGCTAGGGTGACCATATTTCCCAAAGAGAAAACGGGACACTCTGAGCTGCTTGCCCAGGGGCCTACACAACCCCCATGCGATGCTCTGGCTGGTCACTGGAATCCTGCGGCCTCCCCCCCTCGGTTGTTGTCTGTCACTGGAACCCTGCAGGGCCCCCCTCAGGAGGCCGTTGCCCGTTGCTGAAACCGTGCCAGCCCCCTCCTCCACATGCTGGAACTCTCTGCATCCACCCACCCCCCGCCTCCTCTCCTGGCAGGGGGCTGGCATCTCTGCTCGCCCACCCCGCACTTCCCGCCGCACTGGATTTGTCCTCTTTTGCCCTTGCCAACTGATCAAGTTGGCAAGAACAAGAGGAGACAAATGCCTCCATTTGAAAAAAAAAAAGTTGGGAGGACCAGGACAGGGCTTAAAAAAAGGGACTGTGCTGGCCAAAATGGGACATATGGTCCCTCTACCAGTTGCAGCTCTACCCACTAGCCTAATCTGATCCATTTGCTAAGGCAGATTTAAATCATCCAGCCCTGCGGTAGGGATGCAGGTCTCTTCCCATAGCTCTGTTACAAAGCAGCGATCATAGTGTTCCTAAAATAAAGTGTCAGGGCAAACACTATTTGTCCACAAGAAGAAGACAGCTCGTGTAAGGGGAAGGAGTTCAGTGCAGCACAGCCCAGCAGCAGCAGCAGGTATAGAAGCCGTCAGTGGACTCTGGTGTGCCTGGTGTGAGCCTTTAACCATTTTAATGTGACACATGCAAGTGGCTTGGGTCTTTTTCATTTTGTGTAGCTGATCCCACCAGCTTTTTTAGCTTTGTTAAGATGATAATTTTATGGCTGACTGTTGAAAAGCCTGGTATTAAATAATAACTGCTGTCTTTATGCATATGATCCAAAACTGATTTATTTACTGACTTATTTACTACATCTTCAGTTCAGGTATGCGGGGGGAGCATTTTTATTTATAAAAGCTATTTTTATGACACTGATTGTAAGAATTTCTTATCCACTTAAGTTTCCCTGCCCACTTAGGAACCTCCACTTGCTCACAAACATACACCGTCTCTCTATATTTTCCTGTGGACATTTTAACACAGTGATGTCAGATATCACAGACTTGCCACCTTTGATTCATTTGGTGGGAGACACCTTTGCTTTGGATTTATATTAAGACTGTTTTTATGATAATAGATTTTCCAATTAGCCTTTAAAATCTCATCACTAATTTTATTTTGTAATCTCCCTGTCCCTAACTTACTTGCTTGTTGTTGTTTGTTTTAATGTCTTAGGAGCCACATGTTTCTCTATGGCTGAAGCAGAAAATCAGAAACAACTTCTCAGGCTGATTCAAGAAGGCAGGCTAGACCTTTTCAAAGAGGAGTTGCAGAGAGATGAGGAAATGAGCAAGGAAGTGCGGCGGAAACACTATGGGAAATCTGGGGATACTCTACTGCACTATGCAGCCAGGCACGGTCACCTGAATGTTCTGACCCATTTAGTTGAAGCCTTGGAAATGGACATTGAGATGTTTAATAATGACTACAAAAGGCCCCTCCACGAAGCAGCTTCCATGGGTCATAAGGATTGTGTGTTGTATCTGCTGGATAAAGGTGCAAGGATAGACTGCTTGAAAAAGGCAGACTGGTAAGTCACTGGCTTGTTTCACTGTAGGATCTGGCTAGTGTTATGTGTTTGGGGGATGTGGGGGAGCATTGTCTAATAGTTGGCGCATAGGTCCAGGAATCATAATCTAATCCAGATCTCCCACTGACTCACTGATTGACCCCAGTCAAATTGCTAACCCTTTTTTGGCTTGTTTTTCCACCTTTAAAATCTAGGGTGCCCAGATGAAAGGATGAGTGAATGAGAAATTCATGGGCAGATAATAATACCTTCTTCTGAGTGGTATAGTAAGCCTTAATAAACTGATATTTGGAAAGCACTTAAAATGGCTAGCACAGTGGGGACCTGATAACACAAATAACGATATGGGAATACAAATAATAATATTATCAGATTAAAATTGCTATATAAATGTAAAGTATTACTGCAAGGGAAGGAAGCTGCATTATTCATCAAGGTGGTGGTGGGACAGGATTTCCATCACGTGAGGCAGCAAAGAATTCTCAGTTAATATTTAAAGTTGAAATTAGAGCATGAATAGGAGGCACTGACCTAATTCTTATCATTACAAATCATTAGTCTGTTTAGTACTCCTGACATTGACATAATAAGCATGAGCAGGGGAAGATACTTGTCTCACATAGCAAATCTAGATATGTTGATACCTTTATATTCCCATGGCACCTTTCATTCCTACAAATTCCAAAAGCAACAATACATACTTGTTTGCCCAGCTTCTGGCCCTGGAATCCAGTTGCATTGGGATTGATGCATACGAATCTGTGGCCTTACATATACTATGCATAGTTTAGCAAAGAGAAGATTAAATCTCTGCCTACTTGAGAATACATTGTGCTTTCTGTCAATGTCAAAGAGTTTTGTCCCGTCTATGCTAGCAGTTGAATTGTTAAATCATTACTAATATCAGGTTAGTGCGGTAAAAAGATAAATGTAAGAAGTAGTATGGGAAAACTTCCTGAAAGTGAGATCTAGTATTCACTTTACTTATTTACCCAATTACTAAACTCTCTGGGCACACAGATACTATTCATGCAACGCATGACAAAATTTGGCAACAGGGAAAAGATTTAAATAGAAATATACATCCACTCACCCCATGCCCCAGTTTAAAACCTGAGGCCTGGTCTACACTTAAAACTTATACTGGGTAGCTGTGTTGGTCATGGGTGTGGAAAAACCACACCCCTAGTGACATAGCTATGCAAACCAAACAGTCAGTGTAGACGCAGCTATGCCGAAAGAAGAGTGCTTCTGTCAGCATTGTTAATGTTATTTGGGGAGGGGCTGTTCGTACACCAGGAGATTTCCTGGTTTGGTCGGGGTACATTGCGTCTGCAACAGGGGCAATGCCAGCATAGGCTCTGTAGTGTAGATACAACCTGAGAAAAGAGCTTAGACTCTTTATGCTGTGAAAATGGTGGAAGCCTCTTTGTTTGGGACATTGAAAACAAGGCTAGACCAAGTTCTTCAGTTTGTATCGTGAGGAACAATACAGTACTGCCAGGAAGATGGAGCAGGTGATGTCTTTTCCATCTCTAACTTGTGTGGTTCTTTACCTATCACTGGACACCACATGCAGCATGGGGTATGGAAATCAGTGGAGAACTTTCTAGAGTTTACTTTAAGGGATTTGTTTCCCTCCCACCCTTTTGTAATACATTATGATTTATTATGCACCCATTCTTGGCCTGTATTTAGTCAAAAGTTACGTACTTCAATCAAGCCGATGTCCCGTTATCGTCCCTTAAACTGGCATGTAGGCTGACAAAATCAAGCCAGGGAAGGAGCAGTTAAGGGTGACTGTGTGGCAGCAGCCCAGCCAGCCAAGTGGCAGTTTTCTGCTGCAAATTGCGTGCAATCTGCAGTAACCAACCTTCCGTGGAAGGCGCTGGGTAATGCAATGGTCTTGTCAGGACTAAGGCACAGACCGTATATGACTATGCAGCATGCCCTCCGAGATACCAGACTGCTTGTAGCAGCTGTTAAAAAAAAAGACACTATGTGTCGCTCCCTCATGGCATCAAAGAGGAGGTGAGATTGTAAAACGAAAGAGAAACATTCTAAGGGCGAAGGGAGAGAGACAACCTCGGGGGTGTCTCTGCCCTAGATTGAATCGAAGAAATCTCCCAAGAATAAGTAGGCTATAATCCCATCCTGGGAATAAAAGGGAGAGGATTTAGTGGAGTATTGTTGAGACTTGTCAATTCTTCATTATGTTAGTGTTTCTATGGGCCAGCTAGACTGAATTTAACACCTCATTGCGTTGAATGTGGTGCTGGCTGGTAGGCTTGGCACCTTTGTTGCTGCTGTTTGTCTAGAGACATGTTCGTGCAGCAGAGGATTAGTTTAGGTTGTAAACTACTTGGGGACAGGGACAGTCTCTTCTGATCTGCTTGGAGTACACGAGAATGCTCAGAAAGTACCCACTGCAAGCGCTGCCGGGTTTACAGTGGTGCCCGTGGCACCATTGTGGCCAGGCCCATGCTCAGAAGGGGCCCGGGCCTGCTCTGCTTGCACTGCACCCCGAGACCCCGCTGGCTCCGCCACCCACCACTTGCTCCCCTCAGCCTGCCCGCTGGCCGGCCGAGGGCTCCTCTCCATCCCTGTCCCCACCCCCCTGCTTCTCTCTGCCCCCTGGCTGGCCTCCAGTGCATCTCTGGCTCCGGGCAGTCTCTGCTTCCCACTACCTTTGGGGCTCTGCCTGTCTCCCCAGAGCTGAGCCGCCTAGGACTGGTGCAGAAGCCTGGTCTCAGCCGGTGCGGGGGGACGACAGTGGGGGGGAATGAGGGTTTGGCTGGACCTCTCCAGGCCCTGGCTCACCTGATCGCTTCACTCGCAAGGGGCTAGAGCGATTCGCTGCCCCGGGACCAGCCCTGGCTGCGCTGCCAGCTCAGCCTGGCAGACAGTCGCCTCCCAGCAGGGCCGGTGAGGCCGGGAGACAGGGCGTGGGGGAGCGGGTTTCTTAGGGGTCTGGGGGGGTGCTGGGCTGTGAGGGGGCAGGGAAGATGTGTGTGTTGGGGCACTAGGGAACGGGGGTTCTACAGGGGGTGCTGGGTGGTTGTGGGCAGGGGGGTGCTGGGCAGGGTGGTGTTGTGCAGGGCGCTGTGCGTTTGTGGAGGGGTCGGGCGGGAGGGGTGCTGGGCATAGTGGGTCCAGGGGGGCTCTGGCCATAGGGAGTTGGGGAGTGTTGGTTGGGGGGGCTGTGTGGCGCAGTATGGGCCCGCCCCCTGAGGGGAAGGGGCATGCTGGCAGCACAGGACCAGGTGGGCCACTGTGCATCTGCCGGTTTGTAAACAGTGCCCTCGCACTGGGCTGGGCGGAGTGGGGCCGCTGCTGCCATGCCATGCCCCATCGCCCCTGGCTGGCCTTGCTCTGAGGACTGACCTCCCTGCGCCATGCTCCATTGCCTCCGTGGGGGCCCACAAATATGTTTGGTGCCGGGCCCACAAAAGATTAATCTGGCCCTGACTGCAAGGGTGAAAGAAATACTAGGAGACTGTAAATGTAGGTCCTGACCCTGTAATCACTAGGCACGCTTGCATGTGAATAGTGCCATTGAAGTCAATGGGATTACTCACATGTGTAAAGTTAAGCATGTGCATAAGTGACTGCAAGAATCAGATGCGAGTCAGGTGGTGCCCAAATCAGTGTCCTGATACTCAAATGTGGACTGTGGCACTGGGGTGAAGCCTCAGCTGATCAAATGTAGTTTATTGCAGTTAAATTAAAAAGGGGGCAATACCATCAAATCAAATATTATTACACTTGTATGCGCTTATTTTACCTACATATAAAAGGAGGGTCTTGCAGTTAGGATGTCAGACTGGGTGTCAAGCTATGTGGGTTCTGTTCTTGATTCTGCCACTGACTTGCTATGGGCTTCAGCAAGTCACACTGTATCACAGTTACCCCATCTGTAAAATGAGAATTCTTTACTTCTCTGCTGGACATAAGTGTGGTTGTTAATGCTTATGAGAGACACTGAGATTCTCAGATGGAGGGGTCACTATATTAAGTACAGGTAGTCATTACTTTTATTATATAGACCAATTGGGGGTGGTCCTCAAGGCCTTAGGAAGATGCCAGTGCAATCCACAGTCTTATCAAGTTTTCACACCACAATGTAGTGAGGACAGTCTTTAATGTTAAAAAAAAAATGTATGAAGAATCACACTTGTGCTGATTGCCCCGCATGAGTATCTCACTGTGAGGCTAGTGCATATTGCCTTGGAAGAGGGGTTTGTCCAATTTGTGATTTGTTATCTACAGTCACACCTATCGATGCTGATGAAGGGAATGGGACAGTAGGGGGTAAAAAGTACTGATCTGACCAGCTGCAGCTACAACAGAAAATCTCAAACTGCCTTTGTTTTCTCTCTTATTTTAGTGGAAAACAAGAGCGTGTTGGTATGCCAGTGTGCCCATAAAATTGATTGGTTCCTTGTGATGAGAAGATTTTCCAGTGTCAGCCCTTTGGCTCTTTCTCCAGTTATTCTGCTGTAGCAATGTTTCAACTGGTTGAAACTCACTTGGGCCCAAGTGGCACAGCCAGACAGGGTGCGCAGTGAACAAACTAACTGTGAGAAAATGGTGCTCTAGAATCTGTCATGAGTTCATATGCTGCACCTGTCCAGGCATGCTGATGATCAGCCAGACCATCCACATGTAGCATTGGGGATAGAATCCTGGACTTTGATTTCAAAAGCACCTTGATCACTTGAACTAAAGGAGATCTCCCCTAGATTGTAGTGGCTTTAGTAGATCATCTATCCTGTCGTTAGGCCGGCTGCAAGAGGTTAAGATGATAACACCGCATTCACTAGGTCCATAGTCCTAGTCCACACTGGCTGGCCAAACTGTCATAGAATCACAGGCCAGAAGGAAACACTAGATCAGCCAGTCTGACCTCTGTATGTCACAGGCCACCAACACCATCCAGCATCCTCAAACTAAACCCAACAACCAAAATATTGCAGCCCACAAGAGACTAGACTGTTTCGTGCCATAGGCAGAGAACAGGAGGGACCTGCTGGAGGTCCCTGCAAATGCCAGGGAAATGATTAAATGAGGTATACCCAGATAATCCTGGCAAGTGACCTGCACCCACACACTGTGCTAGAACCCTCTTTGGCCACAACCAACCTTAAATCTTGCTTCAAACTCAGTTGTTACAGCAATGGAGTCTGGATCTTAATGGGCTGGCTGTGGAGCAGTTGGTGGTATAATGAGGATGCATTGTGGTTTTATTCTCCCTTCTCTTTTCAAGGACTCCTCTCATGATGGCTTGCACCAGGAAGAACGTGGAGGTGATTAAAGATCTCATTGAGCATGGAGCAAACCCATTGTTAAAGAACAAAGATGGCTGGAATTGCTTCCATATAGCAAGTCGAGAGGGTGATCCACAAATCATCCGGTACTTGCTTACTGTATCTCCGAGCAGCTGGAATACAGAAAGCAAAATAAAGAGAACTCCTCTGCACACGGCAGGTATGGACCCTACTTCTAATGGCCTCAGAAGAGTTTGTGTCATTCAGGGATTAGAAGAGCATAAGGCTATAATTTTTATCACTTGCAGTTGATAAAACGGCAAGTTTTGATCTGTGCCTGTGTGAAGGGTGATAATGTATTCCTTCTAGGGGTATGAATAATCAGTGCTGGATGTTGGAGCTGTTACTAGACTGGGAGCATACCTGGATTAGCATGCAGGCCTGATTCTCCACTGTCTTGCATGTTATATAGTCCTTTTACACCTGTGCAAATTGTACCTTATATTCTAATAACATTAATCATGTGCATGGTAGGGAGTGGGGGCTAGTGATCATAGAATCATAGAATCATAGAATATAAGGGTTGGAAGGGACCCCAGAAGGTCATCCAGTCCAACCCCCTGCTCGAAGCAGGACCAATTCCCAGTTAAATCATCCCAGCCAGGGCTTTGTCAAGCCTGACCTTAAAAACCTCTAAGAAAGGAGATTCTACCACCTCCCTAGGTAACGCATTCCAGTGTTTCACCACCCTCATAGTGAAAAAGTTTTTCCTAATATCCAATCTAAACCTCCCCCACTGCAGCTTGATCCTCATTCCCTCACTCACTGTCCCTTAACAGCTTGGTGCCTCAGTTTAACAATCTGTGAGTGGGGATAATACTTACCAGGCTTCACATGAGTACTTTCAGGATTGATTAACTAAATGCCCCAATATTTTACTAACGCAGAGTTAAGGTTGCCTGTCTGTGTCTTGTGCCCTTCCAGAACGTTGAGTTCAGCTACGCCCAAACCTCTGAAAATCAAAAAATGAACATTTAAGATTCACGTCACCCCCACAACAAAACCTTAATTCTGCCCCTCTGGAGCTGGCAATATCCCTTGGGAATGGGTCAGTGAGGATGGTGCAAAACTTAACAAACAGCGAAGGGAAATGGTGGATTCTCCATCTCTTGGAGTCTTCAAGTCAAGCCTTTCTGGAAGCTGCTAGAATCAAACACAAGGTATTAGGTGCAACAACCAGTAACTGTATGGAATTCTCTGACCTATGTTATATAGGAGATAAGACTAGTTAATAGTCCCTCTGGCCTTAAAATGTATGAGTCTAGAATAAGTAGATACGAGGAAGGATTAGGAGAATGTGCCATTGTTGTGTTGTGTTCCATAGATTTGAATTCCAGCATTTAATGTGTAAGTGCTGGAGCTCCATTCACTGTGTGGGGTGTAAGCGTACAGAATGGTAGAGGGACCAGTTAGAACAGCTCAGCAGAGCTGTGACTGCAATGTGAGAAAAGGCCATGTGTACCTTCCGGTATCAAGCATAGCTTATTTCAGTGCTGAGCTCTGTCGTCTGTGTCCGTAGCAGTGCAGGGGTATTCTTGCCGTGGGGACTGTCAGCAGTGTGGTGGTCTCTGGGGCTTAGTGAGGGGCGAGTGAAGGCCATGTATCAGAAGGAATCCTCAAGGCAAGGGTGAAGGGATGGTAACATTTATCAAGTCTAGAGTGGTTTGTGGGGAGTGGGCTCAATGTTTGAGTGTAGGCCCAGGTGTAGTGTAGGTAGCTCCAGTTTGCGACACCTGATCTAAACCTGAGTTTTGCTTTAGCGAAGAGAAAGTGTTAGACTTTGTTCAACAGTGCTCACGTGCTCTGTTCTCCGAGTGTTCTGCAGAATGCTGGTGTGTACTCTGGGTGTACTGGATCATCACTCAAAGAGGGCAGAGAGAGCTAAGGTTGCTTTGCGGGGGTGGCATCCACCTTCTGTACTTCCTGGATTTCTGAAGTTTATTTGCTTTACTTTAACTCTTGGTTTCCTGGCTTTCAGAGGTTTGAATGCAGCTGAACTAAATATTCCTGAAGCCCATGAGGCACCACTGGGTGTCCATAACTCTGCTCCTTGCCACTCCATGCCCCTGGTAAGCTTGGAGGGGGCATGGGGAGGTGGGAAGATGGTGTGGCTGTCAAAAGTCCAGGCAGGAGAGCGGGGCAGGAGAATGGAAATGCAGATCTGGGCCTGGTGTATGGGGAATGAGCTCTCATGTCCTTCTGCAACATAACAGACTCAGGTGTGAAATGGCTCATTCATCTCAGTGAGATGTTGTCAGCTGAATGAGACCACCCCATAGGAGATGAATTCAGCCTGTTACAATAGCTCCTTACCCGAGTCTCAGCAATGTGTTTGAGGCATGCTTTGAGCCTGCCTGTTCTCAGTTCCCAACCACAATCTTAGTGCTGTGTGTAGTGCCATGTAGAGTACACCTGTTCTCAGCTTTGCATGCCAGTTTCTGCATTAGTGCCTGTTCCATGCACCGAACATGCTTGTTCCCAGCTCCCCATCCCAGTCTCAGCACTGTGGGGACTTGTTTTGAATGGAGGACAGAAACAGAGTGTGTGGATGTGGGGAAGTTGGGGAGGGGGTAGAGCTGAAGGCCCCACATTCCCTATTGTATAGCTCTGGCCCCTCCTCCTTTCCTCCCTACACTCCCCTGCACTGCTCTGACCTCCCTTTACCCCTAGAAGCAGCAGTGCTGGGGGAAGGGTGAGCCTCCAGCCCCTTCCCCGCTGCTGGAGGCAGCATGGGAAATGGGATGCTCTGCCCCCTCTAGATCTCAGCTCACATTGGGGGGCAGAGAGAGCGGCTCCGTGCTCCCCTGCCCCCCCCCAAAGTAGCAGGGCCCTGTAGATGCTGGTTCACACATGGGGGTGCCCAGCTCTCCCCGGGGCTGGGGGATTGCTGCTGCCCCAAGCCCCCCTCCCATTTGTGTGAGGTGCATTCCCATTTGGCACCCAGCTGTCGCCCTGAGAGATGTGGGTGTGAATGGAAGACATCTCCTACCTACCCTTCCACCACCCTGCTCAGCAAGGACAAGAGTAATGCCTAGATACCCAAATTAGCGATCAGGGCTCTATTACGCTGGGCCCTCAAGACACACGTAACAAAAAGATAGTCACTGCCCCAAAGAGTTTGCAGTCTGAGTATAAGACAAGACAATGGGTGGGTACAACAAAAGACGGGGAACTCATTGTGACTGATCAGTGCTATAAACCATGACCACAACACACCAGCTACATTGTTCGACTGTTGCTATTACAGTGTTGCCAACTTCCACAATTTTATCATGACCCTAGTGATTTTAGGGGTGAAAACACGGCAAAAGGCGCCAACTCGTGAATTATTCAAAATGGCCGCCATCTCCTATAATTGTCAGTGGGGCTGAGCTTTGAAGCCAGCAAGACGGCCACTATTTCCCTACAGTCTATCTGCCTGTGGAACGAGGCTACCCTTAATAAAGATGGCTGCCACCTCCCACTGTTTGCAATGAGAGAGAAGCCGTGTCCACAGGCAGAACGGCCCAGAGGGCTGGATAGAACACAGGGACTGTGAGGCGCAACAGAGACACTGTGAAGGGTGGGCGAGGAGAACGATGGGTAGCAGGGGGCAGATTTAGGGGTTGCAGATGAATGGGATGCAGGGGAAGGCTGAGAAGGGAGTTGCAGAGAAGTGGTGAGGGGCAGGAGGAAGGCTGCAGGGAGTGCAGAGGAGTGGGAGGAGCAAAGGAGTATGGGGGGCAGGAGGGAGGCTGAGGGGGGTGGAGAGAACAGTGATGGGGCAGGAGATGGAGGGGATTTAGTGGCAGCTCCCCAGCTTGGGGATGATGATGGAGATGGAGAAGGGGAGTCCTGTTCTAGCAGCCAGAGGAAGGCAGCGTTGCCACCTCTCACAAACTGATCATGTCACAGGATTTTGGTGCCTGCAGGAGAAACTGTTGCAGTGACATGAGAAAGTCCACCGATCTCATGATTTTCAGGGCTGGGCACGGGGGCAGAGCTCTGTGAAGGGGCCTTGGGGCTAAGGACACAGATGTGCCCTGCCACTGAGCCTTGCCTTCACATATGGCCCTACAGCAGAGATAGAGTCCTAGGGCAGCTGGAGGCTGGGAGAGGGGAAGTCAGGGAAGTAACGCTGCTGGGTCTCAGGTGGAGAAGTCCCAAGCTAGCGGGAGGCAGGGAAGTGCTGTTGCTGTACCTGGACAGAAGACAGTAATAGGAAATGGGATGACAGTTCCCCTGTCCTAGGGATGAGGCAGAAGTCTCCATCTGAGCAGCCAGGGAGAGGCATGCATTTTTGGGAGCGTTAGAGGTTGACTTTTCAGCCCAAAATTGTCACACACATGGTGGCAAAGGAATCGAGGGGAGTTACAAAGTTAAAAGACAGACTAAAAATCTCATGATTTTTTCAATTTTGTGATTTTTGGGGGTCTGCCTCATGATTGTTTGATCTCTTGAGGTTGGCAATGCTGCTGTTAAAGCTCAGACTATCACTTGTGTGCAACATATGCTGAGAGCTCTTCTTCAGCTGCAGTTCTGTGGTTGGCTGTGGGGACCAGAACATTTACTGTGTTGTCCTCCTTAATCAAAATGAGTAAATAATCTGATATTAGCAGCTGTGAGTTTGGTTTTATTATATGAAGGCGGCCTACAAAGGAAAAAAATAGGGTTCGTTTTCCATTTTGCTGCAGTATCATGGATTAAGAAGGCCAGAGAGGATTTTACATTTGCAATTCAGATCCTTTTTACCCTGGGATTTTCCCCCAGGAGACTTGATGACTGGAGATGTGCTAAGTGCATGTTCTTAGCATCTCTGTTCTCAGCTCCCAATGGTCAGTGTGTTGTACTGTGCTGTGCGCCAAACATGTCCAGCTGAATTATCAAGGAAGCAAAACCTGAGCAATTGAGAGTGGAAGGGAATATTTTTCAGACTGTTTAAACCTCTTTGTTCTGTACACTCGCCTCCCCTCTCTCTCTCTCTCTCTCTCTCTCTCTCTCTCTTCAGTTCAGGGCAAACAGAGCTTCCACTTCACTTCTCTCTCCTGTTTTGTGTGGAGAGTCCTTGGAGGACATAGAAACGGTTGGATATTCCTGATAAGTCTAGTGTAAAAATAACAAGCAGTAAAAGGTTTCAATTAAAAATCTTTCAGGGCTTCTTTATACATCACAAATAAGCCCAAAGGGGGACAGACCCACTTATTTTTCCTTTGTAGGTGGCAGGAAACATGAAAACATAAATTACCATCCACTTCCTCTCTCTCGCAGCAATGCACGGCTGTTTTGACGTAGTGAAAGCACTTCTTGAGCGGTAAGTAGGCTTCCTGACCCAATTTTTTTGTGAAATTTAACCACCCACACACACCCACTCTTTCTCCCTTCCCTCCTCCCAGCCCATTCCCCCCTTTCATTTACAGCACATGGCCTGCTTGACTAAACAGACACCGAGAACATTGATGCCATTGAGAAATCCCAGCTGCACAATTGTGAGCCCTGAGAACCTATTAATTTCCTCTCACTTTTCACAGCTGATTATGGTGATTTCAGATGTATTTACTCCCTGGATTGCCTCAGAATTCACTGTGACATAGAATTACATAACCAGCCTGGGTCCTTACAACAAGGAGAGAACCATCTGGGCCTAGTTTATCCCTGCTGTAATTCCTCTGGGCTTGACTGAGCCCAGCTACTGCATTTGCCTGCACCAGGGAGACCCACTGTGCCACGATACAGGGGTTCACCCTGAGATGAGGGCACCACCTTCTTTCTTGCTTTCTAGCTGTATTTTCTGCCTGAGGCTCCAGAGTCCTGGCATTGGAGAGTCTTCTGGGAAACTGCATTGAATCATTCTGGCCACACTTCCTTCCTAACCAGTGTTGAAGCTGCACTTGGAAGAAGGGAAGCTCTAGCCATCTCCATCCACACCCTCCCCAGTATCAGACTTCACACCCCTCCCAGCCCCACTAAACTCTGGTTTACAATTGGCATGGGGTGGATTTGATCCACTGTGTTGTCACTGAGCCAGATTCTCAGTTTTGACTCAGTCTTTACTCAGGTTGAATTCCCATTCGTTCTAATGAGATTTCTGCCTGAGTCCCGTCCTTGGGATTTGGCTCACAATAATAATAATGTATGTAGTGCCGTGTTTGTACACTGTACAATAAGGATGCAATTAATTGCTGTGCCAGCCCAGGGCCTGTGCGCCACTTATCTCCCACACAAGTTCTATTCGGAGACTGTAAGTGTGATGTAAGTGGCGTATAGACCTTCTGCCCCTCTTATGCATGGGGGAGAAATTCACTCTGCAGGAATTGAGCCAAGCAAATCACAGCTCTCTGCCCCAAAGAGATCAGGGTCACTCTAAAGGCACATGCCAACACCCAATACGATACAACACAGGACAAAGAGAGAGAGGCATGTGATCATTTTAGCTGGAATGCCTCACGTACATGTCTAAAGCCTTCTGGACAAATACAATGAGACAGTCCAGCTACTATGACCTGCTCCAACAACACAAAGCAGCCCTGAGTGCACCAGTTTCAAGCATGTGTTCTATGATCTTTCCAAGGTGCCCATATGAACCTGACAGCAGGGACAAATGCGGAGTGACTCCCTTTATGGACGCGATACAGAACGGGCACATTGACATAGCCCAGCTACTTCTAGAAAAGCATAAGGTATGGTGTCAAGAGACCCACGCTGCCTTTTCTACAGGTTCCGGTTACAAAACGCCACCCTCCAAAGAGAACAATATTAGCTCTTGTACTTGAATGGGGCCATATCTGGAGGACTTTACTCAGGCAAACTCCCCCTGAAGCTAATGGAAGGACTGAGTAAAAAGTGAGTGGTGTGGCTGATGGTGGTGATTCCACTAAAGACCAGAATGTGTGCCCATGACTCCCACTGATGAGCTGTTACCAAGTTATCATTGGCTCAGGGGGCTACTCATGAGCAGCAAGAAGGCCTTCACAGTCTGACCCTAATGATCAATACTTAGGCCCAGATTCCCCAAGGTATGTAAGCACCTAAAGACCAGTGATTTCAATGGAAGCTAGGTGCCTAAGTACCTTTGTGAATCTGGGCCTTAGAGCTTTACCTCTTCGGAATCATAGAATATCAGGGTTGGAAGGGACCTCAGGAGGTCATCTAGTCCAACCCCTTGCTCAAAGCAGGGCCAATCCCCAATCTTTGCCCCAGATCCCTAAATGGCCTGTTCAAGGATTGAACTCACAACCCTGGGTTTAGCAGGCTAATGCTCAAACCACTGAGCTATCCACCTGCCCCATAATGATTTGTATAAATACTAGCTAGGTAACAGATCATCACTAACACTCCTGTGACATAGGGATGCAAGTCTCATCCCCATTTTACAGATGGGGAAACTGAGGCACAGGGTGGGTAAAGTGACTTACTTGCCCACAGCTACAGAAGGAGCTGGTGTCAAAGCTGAGATTAAAACCCGGGCATTCCTGGCTCTCTAGCCTATGCTTAAACCATACTTGCAGAGTTTCTTCTGGCAGTAGATTTACAAGGACCAGTAGATTTCCTGCTGTGGTTGTGTTGGAAGTGAACTTTCTCTGCCTATAACAGATGTAGCTCCCAGTATTTTTTCCTAGTGACCTCTGATTTCCTTCTAAAAGGCTCAAAGGGCTGTTGTTAGATCCAGTTGTATATTCAAAATAACAAACACTTCATTACTTATGTACTGTTGTCAACTTAGACTATGAAACCCTCAAAGTATTAAAAAAATCTAATTTATTTCTCACTGTTTGTGAAGTTGGTTTACATTTGCATTTCTCACCGCATGGACAATGGGAAGAGACGGTTCATTTCCTAGACAGTTACATTTCTGGTCCTCATGCGCTAGCTTGGTGCTGCAATGTTTGGATGGCAAATGCTAAACAGGCAGTACTGCCAACTTCAGGTTTTCAAAAATCAAGCATCAGCCCCTCAAAATCAGGAAATTGGCTTAAGAATCATCAGATTTTTTTTTAAAAAATTGTCAGAAATTAGGGTTTGTGGCTGAGCCTGGGACCAGCTGACTCTGCCTCCCTAGTGAGCAACAGAGGACTTTCAGTCGAAGCACAGGTGGCTTGCAGCAGAATCACTTGATTAGCCAGACAGCCCAATTGGCTGGAGGAACCAACAGATGTGCTCTTAAGCCCAGCAGCATCGTTCGGCCAATGCTGCTCAGCACGTATGCCTGCAAGCTGTGATCGCTCCTCTGCCAGCCCTGCTCTAGTCCTTGACTCTGACTTCTGGTTCTTGACCGCCACTGCTCGCAACACTAGGCCTAACCACACACATCCTGGTCCATGACAGTATTAATGCATTTTGCATTCTTTTTATTTGCCTTCTGGTCTTCAAAATTTTCTATGCTAGCCATCAAAGCTAAAAACATACTTGTGTTTTAAATGAAAGCTGTTCACATGACTCCAGAAGCTGGGGTTTTAAGAAAAATATTAAAAATAGGCACAAGACTTGCTATAAAATTGTGAGACCTGGCAACACTTAAAAGGGGAATGTTTGCTTGTCTTAAACTCTTTCAACTGAAATTTAATTAAAAGAAATAACGGAACTGTATGATTATGATTAAGTATAACACACATTATGATAGTGCCTGAAGGCCCTCATGAGAATTGGGGCTGTACAAACACATTTGCAAATCCACATTTGACCTGATAGCGTCCCTTTACATGTTGGGACCAGATTCCTTTGATTTGCTAGATGTTAATATCTAGCATACTGTGAAATGATGACCTTGTTGTAACTAGACTACTGTGTTGCATGCATTTGGAAAGACAATGGTTTTATCAAGGTGTAGCTTCACTGATGTCATAAAGTTTCTCCTGATTTACACCAGTGGAAAGGAAAGGAGAACTGGGCCCAGAAGCCTTTGCTAATCATTTCCAAAGCTTGGTAAATGAGCTGATGCAAATGTACACACACACAGGTTTTATCCCAGCATTACATAATCCTGCTGGAGTAGGGTGAGTAATTTTTTTGATGGATGAGTAAAATATCATGTGTTTTCATTATTGTCATTGTCATGGCAATGGCCGGACCCATTGTGGGTACACAAGTTGGTGATCATTCATGGCAATTTGGCACAGCTGTTCATGGGTCCTTATTTCCCACCCGCTAGGTCTGTTATACCGCTGCAGATGCTGTAGGTGCTCGGCCTTTGCACCAGGCAGCAGTCACGGCCCAGGACGAAGCCATCCGGTTCCTTGTCTCTGATCTCGGTGCCGATGTCAATGAGAGAGCAACGTCAATCCAACTCACGGCGCTACATTATGCAGCCAAGGTTTGCCTCCTTTTGATTGCTCCCTGTGCAATGCAGCTGACATGCCATAAGAGAGATGATGGGATATGTCAGCATAGTCTTTGCCCTGAGTGCCATCTGAAGACTGGCTCAGTTAGCACCTTGCAGAATGGTACAACTTCTGCCATGGGCAGCGGGTGAACCCCCCCTTTGGGGAGGCTAGCCCCCTGAGCCCACCCCTTCTACCTGAGTCTGCCCGCCGGAGCCCCAAGCGCCCTCCCTTTCTTTCCTCCTGCCCCCTGTGGCTGGAGGAGCCCCAGCTGGCCTACCTCAGCTGCTACCTCGGCTGCACTGGTTGAAAGTCCTCTTGGTTGCCAGGGGTGCATTTTATAGCTTGGGGGGAGGGTGTGTGACTGTAAATGTGCTTTGGAAAAGATCCCAGCTCTGCCATGGCAAATAACTACACCGTTTGATTTGCAAAAATGTTTCATGGTTTTTTGTTCCTCTCTGAGAATCAGTGTCACTTGCACTGTGCAGCCTAATTTGTTTTGAGGTTTTTGTGCATTTATAAATACATTAAAATCAAATTATGCTTTCAACTCAATTTGCTGCTAAGGCTGTTGTAGCTGAGCCATCTGCTAGCTCACGATTTTTATTGCTGTCGGTGTGTGCGTGCAGTAGTGTACTGGGTGCTGTGAACAGAGGAATATGCAGCTTTTACAGTAAAGGGGAGGGGAGGTAAAAATAAGGGCTATCCACATTCATGCTGCAGAACAAAGCCTAATTAGCGCAGGTGAGGAAGAAACAGCCAAATCAGATGCATTATTTAGGGGAAATGGGAGGGTTAAATTTTCCTCTGAAGCATCCAAAATTGGCTACAGCCAGGGAGAAGATCCAGGACTCGATGGATCATTAGTCCATGTCACTGAGGCAATCTCTGGGTTCTTCTAAGATTCTACAAATATTATAGAAATCCTTTGGAAAATGCCAGTGCCCTCAGGGCTAATGCAAATAGATAGCAAATCCAGCTCAGTTGGAAGCTATTAATAAGACAAAGGTCTCTCATCTAAAACACACACCCACTAGTGGCAATCCTAGACTTCTGTAGTAATCAGACCAGATTTCCAGTATGGGAGAAAACACAGTTTCCTAATGAAGCCTAATCCTTTTAACAAATCATCAGCTGCCAGTATTTGTATTGTTAACAGTAAATCGAGGATTCTAGGGCTGACTGGCCAGCAGAGGATAAAAGCAATTGGATTCAGGTCTGGTCTATAGTTCAAATGTAGGTTGACATAGCTATGGCACTAAGGCGTATGAAAGCTCCATAGACCTGAGCACCGTAGCAATGCCTCCCTGTGCCCCAGTGTAAACACAGCTAGGCTGATGGAAGAATGCTACCGTATAGCTAGCTGCCATTGCTCAGGGCTGTAGTGTTCCTGCAGTGATGGAAAAGCCCCTTCTCTCACTATAGGCTGTCTGTGCTATGGGGCTGTGCTGCTGTAGACCCCGTAGTGTAGACATGGCCTTAGACATTTGATCATAGTGATGGTTGGAGGGGAAAGGCAAGATCAGCTGACACCTTTAATCAGTGGTCCCCAACGTGGTGCCCGTGGGCACCATGGCATTTATGTGCGCCTGCCTACTGACAAGGGAGCGCTTCCGCTGGACAACCAGCCACCGAAATGCCACCCAGAAGCGGCAACGCCAAGAAGCATCGCCGCTGAAATGCTGCAGCTTCTCGGCGGCATTTCGGTGGCGACGCTTCTCGATGACACGGCTTCTCGGTGGCATTTCGGCGGCTGGTCAGCCGGTGCCCGCCACACTCTTCTGGAAACATATATATGCTATAGCAACAGAAAGGTTGGGGGGCCACTGCCTTAAATGGACTAACTAACATGCTAACAAGAAGCGTCTTTAGGCCTTGTCACTAGGGGTCATTCTACATGAGCTCTCCTGCCTTTGCTAGCCTGGGTGGAGCTGTACTGGTGATAAAGCAACAGTGGGAAAATTCTTTAAAATCCTCAGAGCAGACACAGACTTTGAGTCCTGGGGCCTTTGAATTCCACTTGTCATGCCAGTTGAACTCTACTGAATAACAGGACTCGTGGCATTCAGAGGCTCCAGGATTCTGGTGTATTTTGCAGGAGGATCTTGCAGGATTCAGCATTGCTGTAAAAGCAAAGCATGGTCCAAGCTGAACTCTCTCAAGCTTGGATCCTGATTCAGCTGCGTATCTGAACTTTGTAGCCTGGGCCTGTCTCTGTTTCAGAGGCTGTGCATCTTAGTGACATACCATCCCTCTGCTCAGAGTGGTGCATTCCCAGAATGGAGCAGAAAGGATGGCCGGAGAGCGCCATTCCCTTCCCATACGGGGCAGCGTGTTTTTCCTCTGCTGGCTTAGTGAAGAAGGGATATGCTAATTCTAAATTCCTTGTGTGGCAGCAACAACTTGGTTCTACTAGACCCCTGGGCTGGCCTGCATGCTTTCTGTTGTTACATACCTGACTGGGGTGGCCAATAAGTGAATTGGTGGGACCCTTGATACAGGAGACAGGGATCCACATCAAAAAACCCACCACCACAGTTAGCAATAATGGGCTTCTCTGTTGGCAGTTTCAGCTGAGCGGGTAAGGATCAAAAATAATCCTTTCACCCCTAGAGGTGATTCCCACTCAGAGTTCAGGTTAACTAGCAGGGTGTGTGGGACAAACTGCCCATACTATATCTGTTCAGTGGATAGGCTGAGGATTTCAGTCTCCAGCATTTGAAAAGGGATCTTTCACTGGTACTCACAGTAAGGTGATGAGCATTCCCAAGTGGGAGCTGAGAGCGCTCAGCACCTGACCGGATTGGGTCCTACACTCTCTCTCTCACTTTCTAAACATGGCTGTGCAATTTAGTGTGGATTACGGCAGGAGCCTGCTCTACAGGTTTTAAGGACAATAATCTTGATTTACAGAAGCAATTAAATCATAGGGGAACCCCTGCAATTCTGCTTACCGCTGTTACGCCAAAAGAGCTCTAATAGGCATGCGAGGCCATCACAAATGTCACTCACAAGTGCTGGTCAATGGCCAGAGTCTCAGCCCTGCTCTGGTGTCTCGGCACGGCTGTGGCAGCACAAAGGGACAGTGAATATAGTTTATCTGCTAGTGGAGAATTCCCTCTGCATAGGGAGAATTGCTGAGCGGCATAGACCTGTCCTAGTAGCTCTGTCTCTGTGCGGGAGATGTTCCTGGGGAAGAGGCGATGTGGCAGGAACACAGGTGTGCTTTGGTGATCTCCAGCTGCTGGAGTAGCCCCTTGGGGATATTGGCAGCCAAGTACAGCACTAAGATATGCCAGGGGCTGAGGCAGACCCTGGTTGGCCCCAGGATCAGGGAGCCGCAGCCCCCACCTCTCTGCTCCTTGACTGGACACAAGAATCTGCACCTGTATCTATAGCTCCCCGAAGGTTTGCCAGTTTGCTTATGGTGCTGCTCATTGGCCATATAGACAGCTCTTATAAACATTGCTTTACAGAGGAATTTTTCTATTCCCACTCCTGTAGGTTATATTAGGCTCACAAATGAAAGATTTAAAGGGCTGGTTCTGCTTAACAATCATGCAGCATATGTGTTTGTGCTTAAAACTGCAGGAAGGGCATACAAGTACCGTCCAAATGCTCTTGTCCCTCGGCGCTGATCTGCATGCTAAAGATGGGAAAAGTCGATCTGGTAAGGCCCTTTGGTTGGTTGTTGTTTCTAGAGCATCAGTGCTGCAGAGGGCACTTTAAAAACAGGTAAGAAGACAGGATCCCTGCCCCAGAAAGATCACAGCACAGTGTGTTCAGTGCCTAATCTTCAGCCAGTGCCAGGTGTATGACTTGTAAATGAATAGAAAGTGGAATTTGGATGCAGAGCTTGTCACCATAGTAATTGCATTGAATTGGCAATGTCATCTGTGCACAAAAATAAATGAGTCACCCTTCGGATTATTGTTTCTAAAAATGAAATGGTTCTCAACGCAGCCAAAACTGGCAACTCATGGCTTCTCCAGCGTGATCAGGTTGGTCTAAATACTTGTTTTCAGAATCATCATGAACAGTTCCCTCATCAGCCAGTCAATCAGTCAGTCTCTTTCTCTCTCCCACAGACGCTCTCTCTCCCAGTCTACATATAGATCAGGTGTGTTCAGGCTCTGTTACACTCACCTGCCCCGGTTACAGTGCAAGTGGTTCAGGTCACCTGTACAGCTGCATTTTTTCCTCCATGACCTTGAGTCAGCCACTCTTGCTTATTCACTCCTTGACGCCCTACTGTGTTCTGGCTTAGTCTGGCCCTCTATCCCACACTGCCTCAGCTGTTCGTGCTAGTGATAGGGGATTGTGGGTGTCTGTCATGTACTTTGGGGTATCCTGCTGTACAGAGAGCTGAGCTGAGGTGCTGAGTGTCTCTTGCAAGATGCTAAACATCCTCAGCTCCCAGTTGATTTGAGAGCAAGTGGAAGGCTCTCGGCGGTCTGCAGAAGGCCCTTGGCGCCTAGCAGGATTAGACCAAGAAAGAAGGCAGGTGGACTGGCTAACCTAGCTATCAGGACAAAGTGCAGACAGGACTTCCTACCAGTACAACAGCCATGCTAGAACCCACTTACAGCCTGGTCAACATGCTGCAGCCTTGCTACTCTGCATGACTGACACATGGTCAGAGCCGTCCCTTGAGTATGGCGAATCGGGGTGACTGCTCTGGGCCCTGCACTTTGGGGGGCCCCGCACTTCAGTGTGTGTGTGTTGTGTGGGGGGCACTAGGCTGGCCCGCGGGGGGGTGTATTGGGGTGCCTGGGGGGCCAGGCCGGCCGGGGGGGGGTTAACGGGGGGCCTGGTGCTGGCAGCAGGGGTTGGGTCCACACTCACCAGCAGGAAGTGTGTGTTGTATTTATTTTTCTTGCTCAGCCGCTGTTGCACCGGCCGCCAGCTTCCCAGCGCCGCCAGAACACGCCAGCGCCAGGCTGACCCCATCCATTGCCCTTCCACCCCGGACCCCTCCCTTCTCCGGGACCCCCAGCACAGGGGGCCCCCTCACCCCAGCTCAGGTGCCATCCTGTGACTCTCCATCGTCCCCCACTCCCCTACACTGGTGTTTCCTCCCCACACCAGATTTCACCTGTATAACAAATGTTAAAGGGGGGCCATGCAGGCTGATTTGTCCCGGGCCTCCACCCCCCACCCCCCAGGGATGTCCCTGCACATGGTACATTGTATGGTTAGGGACCGTGTGCCAGATCTGCAACTGATCCTACCTCTGCATAACTCCACTGAAATCAATGGAGCATCTACCCATCAATGTACACCAGAGCTGATCCTGTGTGTTCCATGGATTCTGTGGATGGAATCAGCCGTTACACAGCTTAGCCACACACACAGTACAGATCTTTTCTTTCCTTACCAAGACTCTCAGGGCCAGATTCTGTAGGTTGCTGGGGCCAGTCTCCTGTGAAAGTGGCACCCATTGATTGAAGGATCTTGGATTGTCATTCTTGCTAGTGATATTGTACAGGATTAGGCGGCTAGTGCTTTATTTGAACGTGGCAGCTCCTTGCTGCGCAAAACAAACCGAAACATTCTTATTTAATTTCCCACTCCTGTTGTCTGCATCCATAATGGACACAGCAGTGCAGTTTCAAGGCCCAGGACTGCAGAATGCAGGGCACTGATTGCATGTGATAATTGAAAAAAGAATTAAAGTCATTACTCATCCGTGGCCAGTTTTTCCTGGATTAATTCCCTTTGCTAGGAGTCTGACATTTGCGTTGCATATGAAATACAAATCCCTGTTTGCGGATTTCATTTCCATTTCAATGTCCTGTCTCCTTACAGCCCTGCACATGGCCTGTGCAGGCCAGCACGCAGCCTGTGTGTGGCTTCTCCTGCAGGCTGGATTGCAGGACTCTCTGGACGACACTGGAACATTTGCACAGCAGCTTGCCAAGAAACCGGACGTCCTACAGCTTTTCAAGGGAATAAATGTTAGTGCATGAAACTGACAGAGGAGAGAATAAAAGTTTGTTTTCAGCATCACTGTTTTGTGTTGTGCCTGATAGAACTATTAACAAAGGCCCAAATCCTGAGGGCCTGACTCAGCAAACTCCTATTTAAGACAATGGAAGTTGTGCTGAGTAAGGACTGAGTAAAATTGCTCATTGGAAATATATTAGGAATAAAGCTACATAGGAATGTCTCCTATTACATAGATTTTGACCCAAGGGTATAATGGGGTTAATACACTCCATAGGACGGGACTTACAGACGCTTGTCTAGTGCCCCATCATCCTAGGATCTCTACCAGTTCCCGCACCAGCTATTTGGTTGCTGGGTTGGTTCGCACACACTTAGGCCTGGTCTAGACTAGGAAATTAGGTCAGGATAACTGTCGAAAAATCCGCATCCCTGAGCAAAGCCGTTAAACTGACCTAACCCCTGGTGTAGACAGCGCTCCCACTGACCTAGCTACTGTCTCTCGGGGAGGTGGAGTACCTGCACTGACAGAAGAACCTGTGCCTTTGGTGTTGGTAGCAGCTTCAGGGAAGCGCTACAGCGGCCCCACTGCAGTGTTTTAAGTGTAGACAAGTCCTACGTATCTCTTTATCTGTGTCTGTACTGCATCAAGTGCAGGGCAGTTCAAGCCTTAATTGGGGCCTTTGGTCATCACTGTAATATAAATGTTTAATAATAATAGTGCTACAATTGGATGGCTGTTCGATGGCCTGTATGAAATGAGCTGGTGGGATGAGGCCAATTTCTGGTGGGACAGCACAAAACCACTGCCATAATTGGCAGCTGTTACAGAGAGGCCAAGGGTGACAGAGAACCAATTACCCTTTCCCCTAAGAAGTGATTCCCCCTCAACCATCTAGCTCAGGGTTGAAGAATATTGGTGGGTAGCATGGGGAAGCTTGCACAGCCTCTGCCCATACGATATGCTTTCTGTGGAGCAGGGACCTGAGCCGAAACCCACTGAAGTCAACAGAAACATTGAAGACTTCCACTGGCCTCTGCATCAGGCCCAAAGAGAGAAATGTATTATCCAAGACATGCATTCATCGATTCCAAGGCCAGAGGGACCACTGTGATCATCTGATCTGACCTCCTGTATAACACAGGTTCTACAACATTTGCAAAATAATTCCTAGAGCAAATGTTTTAGAAAAACATCCAATCCCGATTTAAAAATTGTCAGGAATGGAGAATCCACCACAACCCTTGGAGTCAATCTGACACTTCTCACCATCATTAAAAAATCTTCCTCTTTGAAGTATTCAGGAAATAAGCTGTATGCTTAACACTCTGCTTGTAAGCGTCTGACAGTTTGGGATAGTCATAAATGCTAGAGCTACAGTCACTGTTTGTTTTATATTTTTTGTTTTTAAAGACAGTAAAACACGCTCATTCTGGAATTAGATTGGAAGCATCACAGCAGATGCTGTTCAATTTCATGGGGAGGGGGTTGTAAATGCACATCCCAGTTTCATGTGTAACCCTTCTGCCAGGTGGAGTTGGTGCCAACAGGGGCCGATTTCAATGTCTAAGGGATTCTCTTAACAGAAAATAGAACTGGAAAATAGAAAATAGAGCCCCACCCAGTAATCTGGGAAAACCAAACACCACCCTTGGGCACCCCTAAGAAGCACTGAGTCTTTGTGCAACAAACTAAAACTTTTATTACAAGGGAAAAAGGACCCCAGTGTTAATTTGGCAAAACAGCACAACCATAGGCAAACACCCACCCCCACAGAGCATTGGGCACTGTCCTTTGCCTCAGCTTCTCACCTTGCAGCGTGAAAGTCCAACACTCAACACACCACTCCCCTGTCCCTCTGAGGTACCTCACAGTTAACAAAGACCCAGGTAGTGGGGAACCTCACTGTCAGTGCAGTTTCTATGTAACCTTTCACTGTTTCCACATGAGCTAACGCTAAGCTCCTAAACTCATATAGGAATTACCAACAAGGACTCTTAATTGAGCCTAATCAGCTCTGTCATTAAATGCTGGAGTGGAACAGGTCAAATGGTATCTAGGCTTCCTTGGGTAGAGTCCACAACAGCATGTATAAATATCTACCACCCCCCCAATCTCCTCTTTGCTAAGTTTTGGCATCCCTACCCCCTACTTAGCAAGTGAGGTTCAGGACATGTTAATCAGGGCATGTTAAGCACAGGTCTGCTGTCCTTTACTAGTACATAAGAATAACAATATTTCTATCACCCCTGTATTTGAATACTAGAGTGATTTGTGTAGTAAGAGGCCCTGAAACATAAACCCTTGTATCAGAGGCCTGGTCTGAGGCCTAAAGCCTGAACCAAAGTACTTCCAGGCAGTGTTAAGTGAAGCTGGGCTGTGAGCCAGAGGCAGGTCCCACTCACAGAAGTTGGCAAGAAAAGGTTGTTAGAAGCACGTACACACATAAGTGCTAATGAGAGGAACTTGTGCCAAGAAGGCGTCAGAAAACTCCACAGAGATAACAAGGAACAGGCAGGTGCATCTTAAAGACAGGGTCAAAAGGACAACATGATGGATAGATTCGTTTGAACTATGATGAGTAATCTATCCTGCAACTGTATAAAAGTAGGTCCGGGAGCACACATCTTTGTCCAGCCTAGGGGGCAGTGGAATGTCCCGCAACTGACTGAGCTGTATCCATTGCCAGGGAGCACAAATTCGTAGTATGCTCTGTAGAGTCTATAAGGAACTATTCCTGTGTTTCGTTTGACAATAAACCTGGCTCGGGTTCCTTCGTACCTTACTAGAGTCTGTGGTTTTTGGGGGATCTCTCGGGGTCTGCTGTGTTAACAATCTGTGCGGAGCTGGGGCAGCACACAGAGCGTACACGCACGCAGCTGACTGTTATCATCATCGAACAAGAGCAGAGCACCACACCGGTAGCTACCGACAATAATTTGTAACTCAAACCAGCCAGAATTGATCATTTTTGGCAGAGCAGCTCCATCATGCTGCGCACTGAGGCACAGTAGGCATGTCTATGCAAACATGGCCTGCTCCTGAAGTCACTGAAGTTGTCAGAGGCGATCTCATTCAGGTCCTGCTTACCTATGTAAGGGCATAAAGAGCAGGATTCTGCAACTTGTTTAGAGCAGATGCTAAAAGTCATAACTGTAGCCATATGTGTTTGTTCTGCTTTACTTTCAGCGCCAAAGCTCTGCACCTGTTGGAGTTAATTGGGCCACAGTTTGTCCTGCAGTATGTGTCACAGAAAGTGTGTGAGTCGAATTCTGAGCTTGGATGTAGGTGTGGAATTCTCAGACGAGCCATCGCGGTCCCTGTTGGCAGAACTTGGCCCAGAAAGCCTTATTGAACTCCCACTGAAGTCAATGGAAAGTCTCCGATTGTCTTCAATAGAAGTTGTCAGGTCCTAAATTAGCAGCAGCTTCAGTGTGGGATCTCATTCTTCATTAAATCATGGATTACTGATCACACAGTGCCAGCCCAGTAATAATAAATTTGGAATATTTCTTACAGTGAAAAGTGTGCTTATATATATGAGAGAGAGAAGGTGGGTGAGGTAGTATCTTTTACTGGACCAACTTCTGTTGGTGGAAGGTAAGAACTTTCCAGCTACACAGAAACAAGGAATCAGGTGGCACCTTAAAGACTAACAGATTTATTTGGGCATAAGCTTTACATGGGTAAAAAACCCACTTCTTCAGATGCATGGAGTGAAAATTACGGATTTTCACTGTAATTTTCACTCCATGCATCTGACGAAGTGGGTTTTTTACCCACGAAAGTTTATGCCCAAATAAATCTGTTAGTCTTTAGGGTGCCAGCGGATTCCTTGATGTTTTTGTGGGTACAGACTAACACGGCTACCCCTCTGATACTAGCTCCACAGAGCTCTTCTTAAGGACTGGGGAAGGAAGCAGAGTGTCTGAGCTAAATATAGGTTGGGACAGATTGTTAAACAGCAGGGGTAACACATATTGGAGGTGGTCACTTGAAATGAAGTGAGCAATTAGGGGTTAGATTGTTATGCATAAAGGGTTTGAAGTGGGCCATTAAGGGTAGCAGGCAGGGTGGTTTGTTACAAATCTTGTTGTAATGAGCCATAAAAAGCAGTGTCCTTGTTAAGGCCAGGGCTTTTAGTGTCTAGCAGATTGACACATGTAAGTTCTCCAGGGTTGCCTTTTGGAGGTATTGTGCGGGTTTCCTTAGAGGACAAGTATCGAAAGATCAGATATGGAGGGATTGTTTGTGAAAAGTGTTCGCCGCAGATGGTGTGGTGTTTTTGTCTTTTATCATTATATATCCTTACATATATTTCCTTCCTTAGGAATAGAGATGAAATTGACATGTCTGTATTTGTTTTATGACAATAGAACCGTATCATTCCCAAACTTTGTGGACTAGAATCCTTGGATGATGCCACTGCTGTTCTGGAATAGCCTCTGAAAACTAGCTGCTGCAGCTGCTACCAAGTCAGTGGAGACAGCACAATGCATTCTGGGTTTCTCTTTTGTAAGCTCCATCAAAATAATGGCTCCTAGGTGTCTTGAGGGTTTTTTTTTTTAGCATATTTAAAATTAGGGTTACCAGATAGCAACTGTGAAAAAACAGGACAGGGGGTGGGGGGTAATAGGCATCTATATAAGAAAAAGTCCCCAAAAACGGGACTGTCCCTTTAAAAATGGGACATCTGGTCCCTATTTAAAATGCAAACACCTGGGATGGGCCCCCAAAGAGAGTAAGGGGAAGTCCCTCTGCCCACATTACCTCCCGTTAATTAATTATACAACCTGCACGCTCTACCATAATCTGCCTGGCAACAGGAGAGAGGCATTATGAAGAAGAAACTTTAAAATCTCTCTTCTGTGAAGGCTTTTGTAATCTAGGTGGCTCTTTAACATTTCAGCCCAATGACACGGCTCTGTATGAGAAGAATGCGTGTGTATGCAAATGGGGAGGTGGGCACCAATTCCGCAACCTTTACTTGGGCTGGGTAGCACTTGACTCCACACAGTCCCATTGATTTCAGCTGGAACGACTCCAGCTGTGTGACTAA